TCTTGCTTCAACCTCCTGAGTAGCTGGGACTATAGGCGCCGACCACCGCACCCCATTAATTTTTGTGTTTTTAGTAGAGACAGGGTTTGGCCAAGCTGGTCTCGAACTCCTGACCTCAAGTGATCCACCCGCCTTGGCCTCCCAAAGTGCTGGGATTACAGGAATGAGCCACCACACGTCGCCCCTTATGATTTTCTTTTCATTTATTTATCTGCTTTTTTTTTTTTTGAGAGGGACTTTTGTTCTTGTTGCCCAGGCTGGAGTGCAGTGGCGGATCTTGGCTCACTGCAACGTCTGCCTCCCAGGTTCAAACCATTCTCCTGCCTCAGCCTCCCAAGTAGCTGGGATTACAGGCATGCACCACATGCGTGGCTAATTTTGTATTTTTAGTAGTGACAGGGTTTCTCCATGTTGGTCAGGCTGATCTCAAACTCCCCGACCTCAGGTGATCTGCCCGCCTTGGCCTCCCAAAGTGCTGGGATTACAGCCGTGAGCCACCATGCCCGGCCCCCTATAATTTTCTTAACATTTCCCTTCCCCTAACTTTAAGAATACAATAAATTATACATATAACAACAAAAAAATATGTGGCAACTGACTATTCATGTTATCAGTAGGGCTTCTAGTCAACAGTTGGCTATTAGCAGGTAAGTTTTTTGGGAGTCAAAAGTTCTCTGTGGATTTCTTACTGTGCTGGCAAGGCGGGGTTCAGTGCTCCTAAACCCTATGTTGTTCAGGTGGCAACTGTACTACAGAGAAATAGCAGCTAAGATAAATAGTTAATTTTTTTTAATTCAGTAAGAAAACACACCTGCCCCAATAGAAGAAACACAAATGGAATCAATGGACCATTCCGGAGAGAAACACAAATGTGCAAGGAAAAAAAGTTAATCTTCCTAGTAATGAAAAAAAAAAAATCAAAGCAGAAAGCAGTTTCCCCTGTAACCTGAAGAAGATGAAAAACATGACTCCTGATTGTCTCAGTGAAAAAGGCACTCTAATGCACTGCTGTTGGAGTAGAAATTGGGGTTTTTTAAAAAATCCTTTCTGAAGAGCAATTTGGCAACATATTTTTAAAAGAAACAATAAAAGCTTGGAGAGTTTGTTTCCACATTCATCGATTCATAAATGGATTTGTACCAAACTGAACCCAAATTCATGAATGGGGTCATACCAAACCCCAAATAAGTGGGGTTCAGAACCTTTCTAAGATCCGGGCCCCTGACTTAGACTGGGGCCTTAACACTTGATCTCTGACTCCTGCCTTGTTTTTATCACACAATCTAATCCCTTCCAATCTCAGTAACAACATGCTCACGAGGAGAGCATCTAAGTGAGGAGAGGTGGGTAAATACAATGGGTACAGAATACATTAAATAACTTTGCAAACTAATCCCAAACATAGGATATTAATAATGATCATCACATCTTTTTTACACATTCATTCCTCACATTTGTCAAGATAGCTTCATAAAATATAAACATGAAGAGGAATCTTAAGAAATTCTACAGAAAACAAATACATAATACTCAAACTGGCAATTTCTGTTGGAAAAATACAGAATATCATAAAAGCACAAAATTCTGTTTTTAAAATTAGCTTGTTCAACTCTCATTTACTCCAGTAAAATAAATGGAACTACTTGCTAATGTTATTTACTTAAGGATGATTATTACTAAGAAAAATCGAACTACATGCAATATTTAGTAAATATTTATTCAGCCACTATTATAAATCAGGCATTGAACAAGGGGACTTAAAAGATGGGTGTACATGGAATATTATGCAGCCATCAAAAACGATGAGTTCATGTCCTTTGTAGGGACATGGATGAATCTGGAGAACATCATTCTCAGCAAACTGACAGAAGAACAGAAAATGAAATACCACATGTTCTCACTCATAGGTGGGTGTTGAACAATGAGAACACATGGACACAGGGAGTGGAGCACTACACACTGGGGTCTGTTGGGGGGAATAGGGGAGGGACAGCGGGGGGGTGGAGAGGCGGGGAGAGACAGCATGGGGAAAAATGCCACATATAAGTGAAGGAGAGGAAGGCAGCAAATCACACTGCCATGTGTGTGCCTATGCAACTACCTTGCATGTTCTTCACAGGTACCCAAAACCTAATATGCAGTAAAAAAATAAAAGATGGGTGTAATCCAACTTCTTTTCTTTTTTCATTTTTATTTTTGAGATGGAGTTTCGCTCTTGTTACCCAGGCTGGAGTGCAATGGCACGATCTCGGCTTACCGCTACCTCCGCCTTCTGGGTTCAAGCAATTCTACTGCCTCAGCCTCCCAAGTAGCTGGGACTACAGGCGCGCACCACCGTGCCCAGCTACTTTTTGTATTTTTAGTAGAGACGGGGTTTCACCTTGTTGACCAGGATGGTCTCGATCTCTTGACCTTGTGATCCACCCACCTCGCCCTCCCAAAGTGCTGGGATCATAGGCGTGAGCCACTGCGCCGGGCCCCAACTTGTTTTCAAATCCTTTTACGGTTACCCAAATTGAGATGTTTACCTTTACATTAGGCTATGATCTACAACAGCAAGGTCCAACAGAAATATAACTGAGCCACATATACGCCGTAATTCTCTAGTAATCTCATTTTTTAAAAAGTAAAAAAGAAAAAAAAGTTAATTCTAATATAATTAACCCAACATACGCAAAAGTTATCACCTCAACATGTAATCAAACTTTTAAAAGACTGATAAGATACTGGCTTTTTGCATAATAAATATTTCAAAACCCACTATGTGTTAAACATACACTTAGAGCATCTCCATTCAGACTAGCCACATTTCAAATGCTCCACAGCCACATGTAGCTGGTAGTTACCCTACTGGACAGGGCAAATCTAGAGGCTGCTTATTATAGAAAAAAAATACACACTGGGTTATGCAGCTGAATTTTAATAATGATTTACTGAGAAAATTCCATTATCTGTTCTACTTGGAAATCAACACATTCTCCTTTCTCTGAACTCTGTCTTTTCTTTAAACAAATCATTCCAGAGAGTATATACAGAAAAGCTGTTAAGAAAAGCAAAGACTAAGAACGACAAATTAAATTAAACACTACTTGGAATTACACATTTTCAGTTTTTAGTTAAAAGAACGTAAGTTATGATGCCTTTGTAAAAACAAATATATTTCTTAAAAACAGACACAGAGGAAAATGAGGAGCCAACTATTATTAATGATTCTCAAGTAGAGACTTTGAAATTAGACCAGAACAAAATTAAAACAAATAAATCAGAATCTATGAACCCAAAATCACATCTTCGACTTTTTTTTTTTTAAAACAGGGTTGCACCGTGTCACCCAGGCTGGAGTGCACTGGTGCAATCCCGGCTCACTGCAATCTTCGCTGCCCGGGCTTCAGTGATCCTACTGACTCAGCCTCCGGAGTAGCTGGGACTGCAGGCGTTCCTTTATTGTAGAAATGGGGTTTCCCCATATTGCCTAGGCTGGTGTCAAACGCCAGAACTCCAAGGATCAGCCAGCCTTGGCCTCCCAAAGCGCTGGGATTACAGGCGTGAGCCACCACACCTAGCCCATCTTTGACTCATACAGTGGATCTTATCACTTATATTTAAAGCATTCAAATTCAGTTAAGAGCTAACGATGGGGAAAAAATCTCAAGTTTCATTTAAATTTTTTTTCGAACCTCGACGTGTATTTTCCACTATAATGTGTAAGTGCAGCTTTTCGGATTCATTCTTTAAAGGACAGCTCATTCTTATGGCAAACATATTTAAAATGTTAACAATTAAAAAGAAAAAAAAACTTTGTTTTATCTTACCCTTGGCCAAATTCCAGATTCGAACTACGTAAAGTCAACATTATTTATATAACAAACACAAAATGTCTTTATAGGTTAGGCCCCAGTTTCAAAAGGATCAATTCACTGACTACTTCCTAAGACAGTGCCTGGCACAAGGTATTGTCGTAACAAATGTTTGTTGAATGAATGAGTATCAAGTGACAGGTACTAATTATTAATACATCTAGCATTTCAAAATGAAATATTAAAAAGTGGACCCGGCCGGGCACTGTGACTCACGCCTGTAATCCCAGGACTTTGAGGGGCCCAAGCGGGCAGATCACGAGGTCAAGAGATCGAGACCATCCTGGCCAACACGGTGAAACCCCATCTCTACTAAAAATACAAAAATTAGCTGGGTGTGGTGGCGCGCGCCTATAGTCCCAGCTACTCAGGAGGCTGAGGCAGGAGAATTGCTTGAACCTGGGAGGAGGAGGTTGTTGCAGTGAGCTGAGATCGCGCCACTGCACTCCAGCCTGGCGCCTGGCAAAGGAGCCAGACTCTGTCTCAAAAAAACAAAGTGGACCCTTTCAATTAAAAGGTTTTACTAGAGACCATACGAAAACTGGAAGCTACATTACAGTTAAGAAAAAAAAAAAAAAACACTATCCAGCACTTGTTCTCATTGAATACAATATTTCTAAGGCACAGAGTATTATCCCTCTCATTTAATATTTAAGAAAGTTCGGGCCAAAAATGGTTGAGTCATGCAATTATTAAGTAGTAGAGCCAGATTTCAAGCCCACGTCCTCAAACACAACTGTGTGGGGGTGTGTGGAGGTGTAAATTGGAATGGAATGTGCGGATGTCTTGAAAACTATATTCCATGTCCCCTCTTTTTAAAAGAATTTCCATTACAAAAAGCTTCAGAGGAAAAATACACAACGGACAGTTTTAATTCCACACACACACATACACACAAACTTTTTAAGAAATTCAAACCTATTTAAAATATAACGATGATAAATATTGTCAATCGTAAGGTAAAGTCGACCAAACAGGCTACATCCTCCCATCTCTCCCTCCCGGGCCAAGTCACCCTGGGAATGAAAGCATCCCTTGCGGCCTGGGATAGACTCGTCCAGGCGCGGGGAAGAGGCGGCCCGCCCCAGGGGCGCGGCCATCCCCAAACCCTTTAGACGCCCCGGACACCCGGCTCCATCCTACCTGACGGGCTCCCGCCACCGCTTGAACCAGCCGCAGCAAGTGGCCATCAGACTGAACATCCCGGGTCGCTCCTCCCGCCACTTCCCATCCGAGCCCGGAGCGGACCCCGCAACCCAGCTCTTCTCCGGGGGCCTCCGCCACTCCGAGGCGCCCCTAAAGTGGATAAGCCGGGAGGAAAAGCCCGGAGGCAGGTGAAGGCGGCCGGCCGCAGCACTCAGCCCTGCTAACCGCGTCGGTCCGCGACGACCGCCCTTTTAGCCAAGGGACATCCTGGCCAAAGACGCAGAAACACCGTAGCGGAGTTAGCGGGACTCGGCTAAAGAAAAGCCCCGCGTCGACGGGCTGACGTCACTTCGAGGCGCGGAAGGCGTTCCCCAGGCAACGCCCGTCCTGCGCTCCTCCAATCATCGGTTGAGGGCCTGCGTTGGAGGCCTCTGAGTGGCTGAAGTGTCTGGCTACCCGCCCCTGCGCGTGACCAGGAAAGGCGAAAGGGGCGTACTGTAGAAGAAGAAGGCGGAGCTCGAGTTAGCCCATTCTTGTAACTAGGCAACCGGAGCGTCCGAAGATAAGCTGGGCATCCGGGACAAATCTCGAGCAAGGCCTGTCTTTACACGCACACAAAATGTGTTGCCAATCGATGGTGCTGTTCCTTTTCTGTCTCCAGTGTCCCCAGCTGAGATTCAGAGATCTTAGGTCTTGTGCATGGGATTTTTCTTTCTTTCTTGTTTTTTCCTGGTTTGTTTTTGTTTGTTTTGTTTTGTTTTGTTTTTTGAGACGGAGTTTCGCTGTTGTTACCCAGACTGGAGTGCAATGGCACGGTCTCGGCTCACCGCAATCACCGCCTCCTGGGTTCAAGCAATTCTCCTGCCTCAACCTCCGAGTAGCTGGGACCACAGGCGCGCGCCACCATGCCCAGCTAATTTTTGTATTTTTAGTAGAGACGGGGTTTCACCATGTTGACCAGGATGGTCTCAATTTCTTGACCTCGTGATCCGCCCGCCTCGGCCTCCCAAAGTGCTGGGATTATAGGCGTGAGCCACCGCGCCCGACCTTCCCTGGTTTGTTTTTTTATGCGCAGGGGTGGGGACCCTCCAGGTTCTGGCAGACTCAAGCAGCATGGCTACAGAAACAATACACTGATATAATTCTTTTAAGTTAAAGACAAGGGGGAAATTAGCTTGCTAAATTTTCTCAATAGTTCAGATGAGGGTGAAGTCTTACTTTCTAAAATGTTTATCACTGTTACATATGTGGAATTGAATTGTATGATATCTGTTGTAGGGGGGACTGCAATTACAAAAGAAAAATGCATTTGTTGTAGGAAATGTGACAAATACTGAAAAGAAACACGATGAAAATGAGATCTTACAGAACCACTCAAAGATAACCATTTTGATGTATGTTTGTTTCAGGATTCTTAGTACATAGTTTACTGGCTATTTGGTTTCTGCAGGATGAAGATTGTTATCTATAAACTGTTTTGTAATGGTTTATTTTTTTTAATGTATGTAATATTTGCATTTCTTTTATATTCTTTGGAGAAAAAGAAATAACGACATTCCTGGAGGGGAAAAAAAAATCATGCACAAGAAATAGGGGACAGGAGAAAGTTAGAGAGAAACTTTCCTTCTAAGGCCTTTACTTTGGGATATATTTTTCTAAGCTCCAACAAATCAAATCAAAAAATCAAATCAAACCCTATCTATAACATGGAAATTAAAACACCTCCTTTGCCAGGTTGCTAAGATGATGAAATGAGAGAAATTGAGCTCAAGTGCAATTTCTAATAAATATTAGATAGGAAATTTTAAAGTTGATGTTACCTGTTCCATAAACACTTACAGTATGTGGCCTCCTACCTCCAAATGTCCGTGGTAGGAGATAAGAGAAAAGGGCAGGATAAGACTGCAATTCCCCCTTAACTCCAAGCCAATTTAGGACTGTTTCTGCTGACTCTACTTTCACGACTCACTTTCTTAAACTAGTGTCTTGCGAACCCTAAAGTTCTATTGTTTGTATTCACTCTTTGATCCATTTACTATGATTGGGCTTCTGTCCCATCTAACTACTGAAAATATATTTCTGATATAACTTATATCTTCTTAATTACCAAATCAGTTATCTTTCCTATCATTATAATATATGGTTAACTTTTCTAAAACTGTTTCCTGCCTTGGTCTTTCACAGTTTTGCACTGTACTGCCCTACCCTGGTTCTCTCTTCCTCCTCCCCCTCCTCCTCCACCCCTCCTCTCCATCCTCCTCCCTCTCTCCTCCTCCCTCTCTCCTCCTCCTCCTCCCCCTCCTCCCCCTCCTCCTCCCCCCTCCTCCTCCCCCTCCTCCTCCTCTCCCTCCCCTCCTCCCCCTCCTCCTACCCCCCTCCTCCCCCTCCTACCTCCTTCTCCCCCTCCTCCTCCCCCTCCTCCTACCCCCTTCCTCCTCCTCCTCCTCCTATCCCCCTCCTCCCCCTCCTCCTCCTATCCTCCCTCCTCCTCACCCTCCTCCTCCATGTATTACAGAACGCTTCATGAATTTGCTTGGCATCTTTGTGCAGAGGCCATGTTAATCTTCTCTGTATCATCCCAGTTGTAGTACATGTGCTGCTGAAGCGAGTGCCACTCCTGGTGCTCTTCTGATCTCCCTGACCATTCCTCCTCTAGCTTTCTATTTGTAACCTCTAAGATGACCTTATCCCTCCGCTTTTTTTAAGGATGCTCCCTTGTAGAATTTGATTATTAGTCCTGTGACTGAAGAGTCTCACAATGTGTATGTCTCTTGACCATTTTTGGAACCATACTCAGTCTGTTTTTTACAAATATAGACTCAACACCAGTTTTGCAGTAAATCTTCACTTATCTTCTTCCAGAGGTTCTTAGAAACTATAATTTTAAACAAAATCACATGTAATAAACCAATTTTACCATAGACGAATTGATGTAAATTAGAATTAAGTTCCTATGGCACATTTTTGGTCACGAAAACATCACCAAACTTCAAAATAAAGACGCAAATACTAGTAATAGTAAACATTGAAATAAATATGAGCTATATATACATTTAAGAGACATTAATGACAAGAAGTAAGATAATTCTTTATTCCTTTATTCCAATTCAGGGTCACAGGTGGCATGATCTCAGGGTAAAAGGTGGGAACTAGCTCTCAACAGGACACCAATCTGTCACGGTGTGCTCACACACGCCCACACTCACTTAGACTGGGTCAGTTCACCTAACATGCATATCTTTGGGGCGTGGGAGAAAACTGGAATACCTGGAGGAAACCCACGCAGACTTGGGGAGAACATGCCACCTCCATATGCACAGTGGTCTGGGCCAGTAATCGATTTGTTTTCTCAGCCATGTCATAATGAAACCATGCTGTTAAAGCACCTGCCTTCCCCAGTTCTGCTAGTGATAACATTACCAAGCATTCCTGGTGCCAACATGCAGTGCCTTAGCAAAGCTGACCCTTAGGTTTTCAATATCTTAAGTGGCTTGATAGCCGTAAGTGCTGCTCACCATGTCGAGTTCTCTTTCCTTACAGGCACACAAAATAACAGTTGTTCCCACCCTCTTGAAGTCAGGCAGGCATACCACATGCCTGGCTTCGTCTAATGAAATGTAAGTGGTATGTCACCTCTTGGCAAAACCATGAAAGAGCTGGGGCAGTTCTCAATGTTCTCTCTTCTCTTGCCATGGTAATTGTAGATGACTATGTTGACTTTGAGGGGCTGTAAAATCAAAGCAGCATGAAATGCTGAGTTAACACATGGAAGACAGTTACCTGGAAAATCATGCAGACTTGCAGTGGACTTCCAATGAGCAAGAGATAAATAGCCGTTATCTAAAACACTGTAACTTTCTGGCTTTTTAGTGTGTAATCTGGTTTGTTCTGAATGATGACAGCCTTGCTGCTGTGATTCTAGTTGACACTGTCATTTCAGGATCATTATTAATATTGTGGCATAAATATTCCCAGGCACACATTGTTGAATTAAACTGAAAGAAATGTTTACAGACCAGTAACTGTTCTAAGCGCTTGGAATATTGTGAACAAAACCTTTAAAAATTCCTGACCTCGTGAATCTTACATTCTACTGGTGAAGACAGATGGAGTGGATGATAAACATAAACAATAAGTAAATTAGACACTATGTTAGTAGAAAATGATGGGAAGAAATGTAAAACTAGATAAAAGAATGGGATTAAGATTCGGAATGAGGTTACATTAAGAGTCCAATTTTGGACAGATTTTATTGTGTGTTAAGAACTGTGTTAAAACCAAACTTTGGCTCTGACATTACCAAGCATCAGTCAACACTGAGCTAAAGCCAGATACCACCATCACAGAGTAAATGTCTGAGATTAAAAACCCGGAATTGTATCCAATGATGGATTGTCAAACTGTATATTAATAGATTCCAGATGGTTTTACAAAGTTTGACATTATGAGGCCGGGCGCAGTGGCTCACGCCTATAATCCCAGCACTTTGAGAGGCCAAGGGGGTGGATTGCTTGAGATCAAGACTTCGAGACCAGCCTGGCCAACATGATGAAACCCCATTTAAAAAAAAAAAAAAAAAAGAAAGAAAGTTTGATATTATGGTGTAGGATGCATACATTTTCAGTGCTGACAATTATTACTGACAGTGTGATGCAAATCTGTGGTGTCAAAAAGATATTCAGGCCAAGAGAAGTGGCTCACACCTGTAATCCCAAAGCTTTGGGAGGCCAAGACAAGAGAATCACTTGAGGTCAGGAGTTCCAGACCATCTCTACCAAAAAAATAAAATAAAATAAAATAAAAACAAAGTAAAAATTATCCTGGCCTACAGATGTGTGACTGTTGTCCTAGGTACTTGAGAGACTGAGAGGAGAATGCTTGAGTCCAGAAATTTGAGGCTGCAGTGAGCTACGGTTGCACCACACACTCCAGCCTGGGCAACCTAGTGAGACCCTGTCTCAGATAAATAAATAAATAAGGCTGGGTGCTGTGGCTCACACCTGTAATCTCAGCACTTTGGGAGACAGAGGTGGACAGATCCGTTGAGGTCAGTAGTTCAAAACCAGCCTGGCCAACTTGGTGAAACCATGTCTCTACTAAAAATACACAAAAAAATTAGCCAGGCATGGTGGCAGGCGCCTGTAATCCCAGCTACTCAGGAGGCTGAGACAGGAGAATCGCTTGAACCTGGGATGCTGAGGTTGCAGTGAGCTGAGATCACACCACTGCACTACAGCGTGGGCGACAGAATAAGACTGTTTCAAAACAAATTTTTTTAATTAAAAATAGGTGTATAGATAGATATTCACTTTCTTTTCTTTTCTTTTTCTTTTTCTTTTTTTTTTTTTTTTTGAGACG